CAGCAGCAGCAGCAGCAGCACTCACTCGGGGTGGAGAGGACCTCATGCCTAGAAACACCATTGCTGCTGAGCCCTGACAGCTGAAGGGCAAGGGAAGCCCAGGGGCAGGACCCGTCTTGGATTCGAGATGGCTAATAGGCCCAGGGTCAGCGAGACTCTGAAAGTGGTGGTCCGCTGCCGCCCCATGAACAGGAAAGAGGAAGCAACTGGCTACGAGAGGATCCTGGACATGGATGTGAAGCTGGGCCAGGTGACTATCCGGAACCCCAAGGCCTCTCCAGGGGAACTGGCCAAAACATTCACCTTTGATGCTGTGTATGATGCCACCTCCAAGCAGGCAGACGTATACGACGAAACAGTCCGGCCATTGATCGATTCAGTTCTGCAAGGATTCAATGGCACCATCTTTGCCTATGGTCAGACCGGTACCGGGAAGACCTACACTATGCAAGGGATCTGGGCTGACCCCGAGAAGAGAGGTGTCATTCCCATCTCCTTTGAGCACATTTTCACCCATATCTCCCGTTCGCAGAACCAGCAATATTTGGTCAGGGCTTCCTACCTGGAGATCTATCAAGAAGAGATCCGAGATCTCCTGGCAAAAGACCAGAGTAAGAAAATGGAGCTGAAAGAGAACCCAGAAACAGGTGTTTACATCAAGGACCTTTCATCTTTTGTGACAAAAAATGTCAAAGAAATTGAACATGTCATGAATTTGGGGAACCAGACTCGATCAGTGGGCAGCACCAACATGAACGAGTACAGCTCCCGCTCACACGCCATCTTTGTCATCACAGTGGAATGCAGTGAGACTGGCCCAGATGGAGAGGATCACATCCGGGTAGGAAAGCTGAACCTGGTGGACTTGGCTGGGAGTGAACGGCAGAGCAAGATGGGTGCCCAGGGGGAACGACCAAAAGAAGCCTCAAAGATCAACCTCTCCCTCTCTGCTCTGGGGAATGTCATCTCAGCTCTGGTGGATGGCAAAAGCACTCATATCCCATACCGGGACTCCAAGCTCACCCGACTTCTGCAGGACTCTTTGGGTGGCAATGCTAAGACCATCATGGTAGCCACACTGGGCCCAGCTTCTCACAGCTATGATGAGACCTTGTCAACCCTCCGATTTGCTAATAGGGCCAAAAATATCAAGAACAAGCCACGAGTCAATGAGGATCCCAAAGATACACTATTGCGGGAGTTCCAGGAGGAGATCATCCGTTTGAAGGCCCAGTTGGAGAAACGCGGGATGCTGAGCAAGAAAAGGCGGAGGAATAGCCGGAGAAAGAAAACCATGGATGGGGAGGGAACCCCAGAAGCTGAAGAAGCAGAGGACCATGAGGATGGAGGGCTGGAAAAAAACATGAAGAATTACTTGAAGGAGCAAAAGGAGAGGTTGGAGGAGGAGAAAGCAGCAATCCAGGATGACCACAGCCTGGTGAGTGAGGAGAAGCAAAAGCTACTGGAGGAGAAGGAGAAGATGATTGAGGAACTCAGGAAGGAGCAAGAGGCCACTGAACTTCTAGCCACCAAATACAAGGTAAGCCTCATTCATACCACCATTTCTGGAGTGTGGTTCAAGTACACAGCACTAAGCAATCTCTTGTGCATCCAGGAAAAGCAGTGAGGCAGGACATCATTTTCCAGGTGCAGCAGGAAGTCTCACGTTGTCCCAAATAACATCTGATAGGTTCAGAGGCTCACCATTAAGATTATTTCACCCACCCCTTTGATAACACTTAGTTAATCAGATGGGCTTCTTGGATTCTTAGCTCAGCATGTAGCCATTCATTATGGGTCCTATTCCAGCAGTGCTGGTGGCAAATATTGACTGATGCTCAGTGAAAAGAGGTGAGACTTCCTGGGGAGAGCAGAGGCCACAAGCTATATTTTGTCTGCTGGGTCACATTGGACCTTGTGGCAGGAATGGATTTCTGTTGGCTGCAGTGTCTGCTGGGCCTCTTGCTCGGGTTTATGCACTGTCATGTGCCAGATTCCTTTGCATGGGCTGTCAGATGCTGCTCCATCTGGCCAGGGAGGAGGAGTGGCTGAGCGGTGGGACAACAAAGCCCAGGAGGGGGTCTCTGGTGTTCAGGGCTGGCAGTTTCAGCTAATAAGCTCCTCTGTTGCACAACAAAGCAGCACAGAAAAGGCCATTTCTATTACTGGGTGGAGGTGACCTCCTGCATACGCATTGGCTGGCACCTCTGGGAGGTTGGCCAATTGTTCCCGCAGTTCTGATGGGGTTTCCTTTTGTCTCTGCAAGTGGGTGTTAACAAGAGGGGCTGCAACCTTCCCTGTCTTCCAGGTCACATTGCCTGCAGCATCTTAGGGGTTTAAGTGAGGACTTCCCCATCCTATTTCTGTCCTAGCTTTTACTGAGAAGTGCGACTAAAGGGTGCTCAAGGGCTTTTTTTTTTTCAAACTGTATCTGCATCTTTTTGCTGAGTCTTGTTTGGCCAGATTTGCAAGTGCTATCTGTGCCCTTGGTCGCCTTCTAGTGTGAGCTGGGAAGTGCAGCAAGATGGGGCTCCATCCTGTGGACCAAGCATGAGGTTCCCTGCCTCACCTCCAGATTTGGTTCTCATCTCTCTTGAAAAAAGAGTGGCTGTGGCACCATGACTCAGACTACCGAGCACATGGAACAGCTGTGCTCATGCAAAATGCTTAAGTTGGTTACTAAAGTAATCAGTTTGAAAGGATCATGCAATATATTGAAACATAAACTAGCTCAGCGGTTTGGGTTCACACAAGATGCTAAGCTACAAAAAAACTAACCAAGGTTAATACAAAATCAAATATAGCACATTGGGCAAATGTAGCTGTTGTGCCTTTAATTGACCTGGTTGTATGAGTACTTCCAAAGAGTTTATAGGTGACTCAATACTCTCCTTCCAGGATGACAACACAAGGTCCCACTGAGGCTTCCAAAAATGATGTCTCTGCTCCAAACTACTGCTTTCAGAGAATCTCATATCAAACTACTAGGCTTCCCTCCTCTCCCAGAGCTAGTTGGAGATTCCAAGAACCAAACTCTGGAATTCCATTCTTCAGCAACTACTTTGCATTTATCTGTCTTGTCTGTCCATCCATCCATCCATCCATCCATCCATCCATCCAATTTATATATCTGCCTATCTATGTAGTCAAACTCTGGATGGTGAACAGAATCATACTGAGCAATCCATTAAAACAAAAAAATGAAACCAAGTCGTGGCCCCAATAAAATTTCAGTTCCCACATCACATGCGCCCTTGGCAGAGCTCCAGTAATGAACATCCTGGCCCCAATGCCTGGGGAAGAGCCAAGTCTTCACTGCTTTTCAGAAGGCCAGCAGAGTTGGAGCCATCCATATCTCTGCATTCCCTACTACCCATGGAAGCCAATGACTACAGCACTGTCCCTCCCTCACCTTATTTTCTACAGACCAAACAAACCTGTATTAAAATCTTTGCTCATACTGGAAACTCACATGGTGACTTTAGGTCACTTGCTGTTCCTTAGTACAATCTACTTTGCAGGCTTAGTGTGAAGTAAATGCCTATGCAATTGTATGTGCTTGTCTTAACAATCCTGAGGGTAAAAGCAGATAGAAATATAGTGAATGATTAATAAAAACAACTAACACTCTTCAATCCACCCTCTTTATTTCCAACATGCACTCCTTCAAATGTATGTTGTCGATCAAGGCTTAAGTTCAATATTGATTTAATATCATTAGCTGTTTTTATGTCTTTTTTAGTTTTCTGCAGCACCCAGAGTCCACTGGAGTTGGGTGGCCAATATTCAAACAAACAAACAAGCAAATAAGATTGTTTTAAAGAAGAGGTACTTCTCCATGTGGGTTTTGTAATCCCAGATGGAAAACTGATTGGGATCATGCATTCCTTTAAACCATAGTTTGCTAAATAAACCATTGTTGGTTGGGCTCACACAATATGCTAGGGCATAACTCAGGGATTACAAATCAGAATAGTTGAGTCCACATGACACATTAAACCAGAGCCAAACCAGCCATATTTGAATTTAGTGCCATGTATGAATGCAGCCAGATGACTCAAACAATTTTCTTGGTTCATGCCATACACTGAGTCTTAAACTGACCAAATGGGCTGGGTTCCCATAACATGCTAAACCACAAAAAACCTAACTAAGGTTAACACTAACCAAGCTTAGGATGTTGTATACATGCAGACATTACGACTTTAATTAACTTAGCCTGTGTGTGTCTGGGACAGCTTAACAACCCTCCCCCCTCCAACTCTCCAGGTGAGAAATCCAGGATTGTGTAGGTTTCCTATCTCAGTGATGAAACCCTGGAAGTCATTCTAGAGCAGTGTTGTCCAAACATGGCCACTTTAAGATGAGTCCACTCATCTTAAAGTGGCCAAGTTTGGACAACACTGTTCTAGAGGGTTCCCAGGCTGTCTCAGTTGGCCCAGATGCTGTTGTTGCTACCACAGTATGGTTCAGCCTGCTTCCCTCACCCCCAAGATCACCCCTGACGGGCTGCCTTGGAGTCCTCCTTCCCCTCCTCGGGGGATTCCAGAGTTTTAAACTGAATCATGGCATAGCCGGGGCTCCGTCCCACGAAGCTTCTTCAGAGTATGTTACCAGTCCTGGCATGTATATGCCTCTGAGCATGCGCAAAGGGCCACACACTCATAACCCCAGGATTATGACTGGTCTTTGCAGAGTTAAGGCTTCTTTCCTATGAGCAGAAACTGCTAGACCCCATGAAGGGGACTGGACCCCTCAAAACATCCTTTTGCATATCCCTCTTGATAGTGCCGAATGGAAAGAGGCAAAGGAAGAAGCCAGACTCCAGTCCCAGCATTCAATATATCCAGTGCTTGACCATGCAAAAATTCTCTCACCTGGGGAGAATACCTCTGGCCATGTGCAGAGTTATCCCTTCCCCTCAACCCAATCAATCACAGTAAATAGTAGGCTTACGAAAAACAAACTCCCTTCCTGTTCAGTTTAAAACTCAGTAGCACCTTGCCCACTTCTAGAAGTCCACTCATCTTAAAGTGGCCAAGTTTGGACAACACTGGGCTAGATGAATAGCTAAGGGTGAATGTGCATTGTTCAGGAGAGCCATAGCAAAAAACTCCATGCGATGCGGGCTTTGCCCACGGCTCATAATTAGAAGAAACTTATTAGACACATTCAGTCAGAGCTGGGAGGCTCTTTTGCAGCCAAAAAGTATATTTGGGTTTTTTATCTTATTTTTGGTCCACTGAGGGCCCCAGAGGTTGTGAAGTTACTGGAAAGGGTGGGGCCAGAATCTCAGATCCTTTTTCCATTTTTTAAAGTTGAAGTTTTCTTTCTTCTTTTCTAGTAAGATAAATACATACATCAACCCTGTCAGAGGCTGAATATTTCCTTTCCTTTCCTTTCCTTTCCTTTCCTTTCCTTTCCTTTCCTTTCCTTTCCTTTCCTTTCAAAATTATACCTCCACATTTTGGTAGTCTGCTGCTGAATTTTATTGACAAAATCTTGGTGGTTGAGGGAGGCTTTAAAAAAGGGGCTTGGGAGACCACATGCAATTCATAAGCCATGGGTGCTTATCCCTATCATAGGAGCATCCTTCAGTGTGCAGAAGAGAAGCACAATGGTTTCCCAGAATTAGGCTTCTTCCCCTCTCTGCTACAACAGGAGTCAAGATTTTAATGAGATGTAGGCGGTAATATTTTCCTCCTTCCTCTTTAGTCTCTGAAATCCCATGTCCTATTCTGGGGTAGAATCTGGATCCCATTCTTTCTGATCCTGGATCAGTAGTGAGGAAATAGCATGTCAGTGACACTCCCTTGTTTGTTATTCCTGAAGTTTTCCAGGACTGGATAGATAAAGAGGATGCTCTCCGCACTCTCAACAAGCCCTCCCAGATGATGGTCCTCCCAGCTTCCAAGAAGATAGCAGAGGCATCTGACTGACCTCTTTTAGTTAAGGGGAGGGAGAGGGATCTGGGGTAATGGCATCTACATGAATGTTCCCTTCTGTTAGCTGGAGTTGCTCTCTCAATGAACAAGCACAATGCCATTAACACGTTCCCCCAGCCCACACAGCCTTGGGCCAATGGTGGCCTAGAAAAGAAGGAGACCATTGTGTTCCAGAGAGAGGCAGCTTTGTGAACGGATGGATGGGAAACAGAGGGAAGCCCTCCTTTTCTTTAGCACACAATCCAGCCTTATGGGATATTGTATAAAAAATCAGATCAAAGACTGACCGGCCTAGGAACCCCAAAAAGAATGTGGTCCCATTCCAATACTTGGCCCAAGTGATAATGAATAGCATGAACGATGAGCTCCAGGTAGTGGTCTGACCTGGGGAAATATGTTCTGTGAGCTGAGCCGTTGTAGGTTTGTATATCATGACCTGTGGCTTAGCATGTTGCATGAACCTGGCCGATGGCACTTTATTTTAATGCATTGCCTGAACTTAGTCAGTGGTGTAAGCCAGTTTCCTTAGTTCAATGCTGCTGCTTCTGTCACCTGTGAAGAAAAGCCCAAGAACCTTGCTATGCGTACGAAGGCA